TCGGGTGGCAGCGCCGGCCCCGGGCCCACAGCACAAGGTGCTCGGGCGGCCCCAGCCCCGGCCCTAGGGCACACGCCAGCGCCGGGTGCAAGGGCATCCCAGTCCCCTGGTGTGCCCCAGGATGCACGGTCCGGCGCCCGGGAGCTTCTAAAGGTTGGGGACCACTGGCTTAGGTGCCTGCGTGTACCCTGCGCTCACTATAGGACACTCCCGGGACTGACAACGCAGCAAAGCTCTTGTCAGGGAACTTGTCCCTCTGCAGAGAGCCTAAGGCCTGGGCACCACTTCAGCTCCACTTCAGCCTCAGAGCCTGTCCGACGGCTGCTGCTCACTGCATGGAGCAAAATTGTCCACCTGCTACCAATGTTCCCTCTAATTTTTTCCATTGGCGTGTGTGAATTAAATTTTGTTATGTGCAATAAGGCATGTGTTTATGTGCACCACCAGTAGATGCACATGCTGCCAGCTGTGGGCATTCTGAAAATCAGCTGGGTGGAATTTGAATTGCCCCTGGGCAGCTACCCAAGTGCTCAGCTTACAGGGAACACTGCCTGCTACCTTGTGTCTCTTTGGTTGCTTGTATCTGCCAGTGATTTCTCCCTTTACATTAAACTGCCCACAATCCTCTGCTCAATGTATCTGTGCAGTGCCAAGCACAGCAGGGCCCCAATCCCTGACTGCAATACACATAGCCAGAAATGATAGCTACCGTGGCCTGCGAGGATGGGAAACTCTGGTGATAGGAGGCCCATAAGATAGAGATACTAGTAAAAGGGCTGGGTCATGCTCCCTCAGTTCTTTCCCTTTGCACAAGAGCAAATGGTCAGACTTGGGAAGACACATTGTATGGCTGTTCGTTTTTGCTAGGCAAGGTTCCATGTAGAGGGGATGAGTTCTCAGGCTGGAGCAGTACAAGGAGCTGGAGAATTTCTGTCTTGATCACTAATGGGAGCCAATTCCTGAGCTGGGCTTGCTGTCTAAGAACCAGACCCTGGTGCTGAACTGAGTTTCCAGTAGGGATGTTAAATTTTGATGAACTGGCTAATCGAATAGTCGATGCAATTTGCATCGACTATTCGATTAGTTAATAAGCCTCTGCCTTTGAAGTGTAGCAATAGTCCCTGGGCTGTTGCTACACTTGAAAGGTGAAAGCACTGCGGGGATCACGGGGCCAGCCTGTGTTCCCGTGGCACTTCAAAGCAGCAGCGTCGCATGGAGCCCAGGGTCAGCTGGGGATTCAGAATCCTCAGCTGACCCTGGGCTCCATGTGGCACTGCCGCTTTGAAACACCACAGGGAGCCTGGTATCAAGCTCCACACGGCATTTCAAAGCAGCAGTGCTACATGGGGTCAGCGGGAAGTCCCCAGCTGACTCTGAGCTCCACCAGGCACCGCTGTTTTGAAATGCCTTGTGTAGCCCAGGGCCAGCTGGGAGTCCAGTCCCCAGCTGGCCCCGGGCTGCACACGACATTTCAAAGTGGCAGACCCCCAGGCTCCACGCTGTGCTGCCACCTTGAAACACCTCATGCAGTCTGAGCGCTGTCGCTTTGAAGCACCCCCTTCTTTTCCTCCCTCCTTGCTGCCTCTTTCTGATAGAGACAGCAATGGGGGAGGGGAAGCGACTAGTCAACTAGCATGTCAACTATCCGATAAGCATTTGCTTATCGGATAGTTGATTAGTCAACTAGTCGTTTACATCCCTAGTTTCCAGGCGGAAGGTCCCTGCATGCTCTTTGTGATTGTTGCTGTTCCAGGACAGGTGCTTGCAGGGCGTAGAAACTGTTGTAAACATGAGTGGCACTTTATGCTGTGTCTGCACCATCCTCCTTTTATCTTCTGCTCCCTGGTTGTGTTCCCTTCTATGCTAAAACAACAGGTCCCAAGGCTGCTCCTGGCGGCGACTTTTCTTATCTTGGAAAGAGCGGCATGGAGTTCACCCAGAGATGCACAGGACTGCCCAGCGCCTGATACCTGCTCAGAAAAGCCACCAGCTGAAATGTGGGAGGGAAGGCCCAGCGTGTGGAGTGGAACATCTACGGACCCGGGGAGGATGAATGGCAGCGACAGCAGCCCTGGATGCTGCAGGGATCATGGCTGTGGTGTGACATAGGGCAGGCTGCACTCTAGGGAGTTAGCAATGGCACCGCAAGGAGGCCTTGAATGTGGGGATAACCCTGCTCCCAAATGCCTTTGTCCATGTGGTTGACTTAATCACAGAACACTAGAACTGGAAGGGACCTCGAGAGGTCGTCAGGTCCAGTCCCCGGCCCTCACGGCAGGACCAAGCACGGTCCAAGGCAGCAGCCAGCCTGGGTCTGAGGACACCAACAGCTGAGGGATCCGTCATGTCCCTTGGGAGCTTGGTCCAACTGGACCAGGACTCCTCGGCTCTGCTAAACATTTGTGTCTAATTGCTGTTGTGAATTTGTTTGACTTCTGCTTCCTGAATTCCCCTGCCTTTCTCTGCTAGATTAAATGTACCTGGGATTTTCTCCCTGCCGAGGCTCCGGGCTGTCCCCCGTTGGTCTTCTCTCTGATGCGCTCACTGCACTGAGCTCTTTACGTCACTCTCATTCTCTCCAGCCTGCCAGTCGTTTTCCTGCCCCTCTCCAATTGTTCAACTTCCTTTTAAAAATGCAACCCCTAGAACCGGATGCGGTATCCCAGCCTGATCTCTGCTATGCCGCAGAGAAAGATGAAACCACCTCTCTGCTCCCGCTCCCTTGTTCATACATCCACCCATCGCATGGCCCCTTTCCTGCCCCAGCGTTGCCCTGGAAGCTCATGTGGCATTGTTGGCTGCTCTGACTTCCCAATCCTTTCTGGAGTCTCTGCTTTCCAGCACAGGGCCCTGCTCATGAAAGGCAGGGAAGGCATCTGATCACATTAAGACATTAGGAGAAACTTCCTAACTGTCAGGGCGGTTAAACACTGGGATAAATTGCCTGGGGAGGTTGTGGAATCTCCATCCCTGGAGATATTTAAGAGCAGGTTAGACAGACACCTGTCAGGGATGATCTAGATCAGTGTTTCTTAAACTGTGTTCCGTGGCACACTGGTGTGCTGCAAGGCAGTTGGAGGTGTGCCATGGAGAACAACAGAATTCAAAATGGCCGCCCTTAAAAGGGCAGGCGATTTTTTTTTTTTGCTCAAT